GCTGACTTTAACACTAACAGAATATAACCCTTTTGTGGCACACGGCATGATTTTGGCTCTTGCACTAACATCACTGGATGTTTCCCAATATGTTTATTTGCAATTCTTCCATGATTCTATGAATTGTATTAATGTTCTTTAATCTGTAGCCATGGGATTTTACACTGGTTCCATTGGGTATGATCCTCCCAAATATTTAAGGGTCCCTCCAGGTTTTGTTTCGGGCACTGTATTCTGCAACATGTCAATGATCCCATTATAGAGCATCAGTGGTGCATCATTCTGCTTTATTATTTGTTCTGTGATGTTTCCCCATTATTGCTGTCTGGAAGGGCGCTTTTGACAACAAGAACAGGTCAAAAATTAAATCTGAATTTTGTGGTATAAAAAGTTACAGAATTTCAGCAGGAAGCTATGAGACATTCACCAAATTGAAACAAAGCAGCCTGTCCACTCTGAAATTTCGTGTTCACAAAGAGTATATTGAAAGTGGGATCATATATAACTGTCCCAATGCCATCATGAACACAAATAATTATCAATTCACAATAAAAATGATATCTTGCAGTGGGGCTAGGTAAATCCTTGACTCTCCAAATAAAATCAGGGGGACTTCTAAAAGTGCTCAACTTTTGCTGGATCACGTTCATCGTATTTCAGTAGCTGCTTGTATGTTGCTTTAAGCTCTGCTGTTTGAGAAGAAATGCTTCAGCAGTTGATCTTCTGTAAGTGCATTTCAGTGGCAGTTGATAAACGCATATGAGTGGTAGTTCCCTTTACGTTTCTAGAAGCAAGAATGCTGATAGAAAATTTTGCTTGAAAAATACTCTCATTTTATCATTGTCCTTCTTGTTACATTTCATCTTTTCTCATTTGGCTCAAACTTTTTGTTTTATATATATATATATATATATATATATATATATATATATATATATAACAAAAAGTTTGACCCACCTATATATATATATATATATGCAGGTTTTGGTGTCCTCGGGTGTCTTCCCGTGTAAAAGTTGGGGTGTCTAGGCGACGTTTCGACGAGGTCTCACTCGTCATCTTCAGGCTGGTGCTTTCGGCTTCTTGTTACTGGAACAGAGCAGGATCTCAGTGTTTGAGTTCCTATAAATACTGTTGAGGGGGTGTGGTGTATAGCCTCCAATGTTCTGGGCAGAGAGGAAGTTCCCAGGCTAGTGTGCCTTTTCTTCTTTTGTTCCTTAATTACTTGAGGGATATCTTGAGTGATTTCTTGAGTGATATTCTGAGTACCACTTAGGTGGGTCATTAGGTGTGGATTAGTTGCTAAAGCCTTCGTGTCTTGACCTCTTGAACTTTGTGAAGAGTTTTTCTGAGAAGATGGCTGTACTGCACTTAGTTGTGCTCTGGCTTTGGCTTAAGTGCAGTACAGCCATCTTCTCAGAAAAACTCTTCACAAAGTTCAAGAGGTCAAGACACGAAGGCTTTAGCAACTAATCCACACCTAATGACCCACCTAAGTGGTACTCAGAATATCACTCAAGAAATCACTCAAGATATCCCTCAAGTAATTAAGGAACAAAAGAAGAAAAGGCACACTAGCCTGGGAACTTCCTCTCTGCCCAGAACATTGGAGGCTATACACCACACCCCCTCAACAGTATTTATAGGAACTCAAACACTGAGATCCTGCTCTGTTCCAGTAACAAGAAGCCGAAAGCACCAGCCTGAAGATGACGAGTGAGACCTCGTCGAAACGTCGCCTAGACACCCCAACTTTTACACGGGAAGACACCCGAGGACACCAAAACCTGCATTCCTGTACCCGTGAAAATCTACGAAAGCATATATATATATATATATATAATCTGTAAACAGTGGACTTATTAAACATCTATTTTAAAAGCATTAACTTGAATAAAAGATCAGTTACACAATCATAGCATTCTAAACACATTTTATGCATGTGGGTGTAAGTGTGGTGATAGTTTTAGATGGGAATTTGATTTATTTTGAATAAGAAACCAAAATTTCTCAAGAGCTAATTAAAATAAACAACCCCTTTGCTGCAGTTTATCTTATTTATTTAAAAGATATTTAATAAGCAAAGGTGAATGCCATTCAGAAATCTTTTTAATTAGGTGTACATTTTATAGAAAATTCCTGTTTATATTGCTGTGATTTTATTTTACCATTCTCTTACAGTGACGTAGTAAAAGCTATTTATTATGATTTTCTTTGGCTCACAGTCCCTGTTGTTGAATTTATTTGCCCAAACAGGGAAGTTTATAGGTGCACTTGTCTTTGTTACCTCACATTCAATACGAGTGGCAGATGGTACATAAAGCACATAGTCTGCTAATGTGCCATTATTATTATTATTATTATTATTATTATTATTATTATTATTATTATTATTATATTTCCTGCCTTTTCCCCAGTCTGGGATGCTAGGTGGTTTACACAGGTAAACTAGAAAAAGCTAAAAACATAGAAAATACTATCACTAAAGGATAAAAAATTAGGATAATCATTACAGGATAAAAAAGGTGTGCAGTGTGCTTATATCTGTCATTTGTGCTCATAGGGTGTCTAACCAGTCCTCCTGTTCTTAATTCTGCATCTTCTGTTGGCAATTTAAGGCATTTGCTGTAAAAATCCCAGAACCTAAGTCCTGTTGGATCAGACCTAGCACCAATCTACTCCCAACCATCCTGTCCTCACAGTGGCCAAACAGATACCTCTAGGAAGCAAACAAGCAGTACAGCAGCCATCATGACTAGTAGCCACTGACATCACTTCTACCCTCCATGAATTTATCTAAACCTGTTTTAAGGCCATCCAAGTTTGTGGTCATCATTACATCTTGTGATAATGAATTCCATTGATTAAACATACTTCAACAGCTGAACCCTGGATTTGCTTCTTGGCTTTGGACTGGCAATGTTTCTGAAATACAAAGAAAATACTAAATAGGCCTCTCAGATATAAAGGAAGTATTCCACCCCACCCCACCCCCCAGTTCCAAATAGTTGCCTGCAGTGGTCTCCTGCAGTTAGATAGGTGGTGACCAGGGTCTTTTTAGTGTTGGCACCCTTCTTTGGAACACCCCCCTTGGTCCACAATCCTAGTGCCTCCTCTTAGCTCTAGCTGTCAGGTAAATACAATTTTATTCACCCAGACTTTAAACTTGCTAAGCATTTGCTGCTATTGGAATGCTACAATTTTCGAATCAGGTCAGTTTATCTTCAGTTAATTTAGAGTTTAAATATTTTGGCATTTAGTGTGGATTCTTTTTAAAGTTCTGTTGATTTTCATCCTATTATTTGTTTGGTTTTATTTGCTTGCTTGCTTAGGTATATAAATAGTTGTTTGCGATTGGAGGTAAACAAATACAGTGATGACTGTAATGTCGTGGGAGCAAATAAGGAATTGTACCTAGCTGCCCTGAATTGCCTTTAATCTAAATGAAATAAGATAATTACTGTCTAGTCATCCATGGTATGGTTTTCCGGACCCATCCTGGTATGTTGTGTACCAGCCCTAACAGGTATTGACAAGAGGCACTATCTTGTTTGGTTGCCTCCTTCCATGTGCAGACGCATTTCCTGCCATGCTGCCTGCCTCTCCTGTCTTCATACACTGATGCAATTCTCCAGGGACTTAAACACCCACCCACCCACTCACACACCCTTCCTCCTTTGTCTAATTCCCTAGAATGTCATTTTCCTGGACATTTTCAGGGCTTTCCCTGTTTCCTAGCGATTTCTCACATACGTTAGTAGGGAGTGCCAGACACAGCCTTGAGGTGGAAGCCACCAAGACGTGAGCTCAGTTGAAATGCACAGGAGCAGAGCAGTGCCGTTGTGTAACTCCTGCTCATTTCACTGGTTGTGTGGGGTTTTTATTCAATTATGCCCTGACTTCCCTTAAAAATTCACGGTGTAATCATTGTTAGTGAGTCGTGAGGGTGCCATTTGGTTTCTCTGCTGATGCAGGCACTAAAATAACTTGGGGTGTCCCTGTTGCCCACCATCATGACCCCTCCCCTCTGCCCGTTGCCTCTGCATCATCTTAGTAGCCTTTAGTTCCCTCTCTGCTGCTAGGTCTCCCCTTCTCCGTATCCAACGACTTTTTGCCCGCCAGAGAAGTGAAAGAAAACATCTGCAGTGGCAGAGCAGCACAAATGAAAGGGGAGACTTAGGAGCCATGGAGTAGTCTCACATTGTGCAGTAGCAACACATGCATGGGTTTTTTTTGGGGGGCAGGCTTTTGTTAGGGGGCAAAACCTCAGATTTCATAGAATCATTTGTATTGATTCCTATTGATTGGGGGGGCAGCTGTCCCCCCTGCCCCCCTTGGCTATGCCCATGAGCACATGGTTAGTTTGTGCAGACATTGGGTATAATCTGTCATCAGCACAACATCATGGATATAACAAATTGATTTCTTGGGGTGAGAGGGGATGTGCTTGTGCATGAGATATAAACATATTTGTATTTGCCCCCTTACCACAAGGAGATCAAGACAGCATATATGCGGCTACCACACATCTATACAACAACTCTGTAGGTGTGAGAGAGTTCAGTTTTATTATTAGGATTTATCTCATGATAGTTTTGATTTTTATACATCACTGAATACTGTAATGACGGAAGGGTGGAATAAAAATATTTTAAATAAATAAAATAAAAAGCAACATTAGTGCTCTGAACCCTGAAACTTATTCACCGTTGCCATTTGTTACATTTTTATGTGTTCGGCAATCACAATTTGACCTGTTTGCATTCTGTAAAAACATTCAGGCTAAGCTATAAAGTTTGAAATGAGTAACTTCATGTTCCAATGAATGGAGTATTTCATGGGTCTTGTTTTTGCTGCCGCACAACAGACTGATACACAGCTATCCCTCTGGAAATCATTCCTATGGATATGTGCAATCTAATTTCCGGTAGGGAACTTACTTAGTGACAGAGCTTCTCCCTCCTATCTACATTCACATTGTTTCTTTCTTTTCTTCATAGATTGAGCTGCAAAAGCGAAAGATGAAGCAAAAGGAACTGTTTATATTACAACTTTTAGAAAAAATATCATTCCTTGAAGGAGAGGTAAGGATTATATTTGGCTAATTACTGAAAGTTATTGTTTTTAACTGATACTTAGCCAATTATCTTTCCCAGTGTAAAAATGCCCTCCCACGAGATGTCAAAGCGATAAACAACTACCTGACATTCAGAAGACATCTTAAGGCAGCCCTGTTCAGGGAAGTTTTTAACGTGTGATATTTTAGTGTATTTTTGGTTTCTATGGAAGCCGCCCAGAGTGGCTGGGGAGGCCCAGCCAGATGGATGGGGTATAAATAATAAATTGTTGTTGTTGTTGTTATTTCTGATTGAGGCAGCATAATATTATAACTAGTAAGAATCAAGTGTCAACAAGAAGAAAAAAGAGGGGGGAACCATAGAAAATGTATAAACAGAAAACAATACACTATTAATTGAGTACACTCGTCAGCTGTATTTGAGTGGCAGTCTAGAGATTTGAGTGAGTCAGGAGCAGGGATGATAATGAACTAAGTGCTTCCTGTATTAGGTAATGCAGACCAGGATGTGTTTGTGTGAATGTGAGGGGAAGGGCAGAGGAAATGGAAATCCAATACTTTTTCCTTTTATAGGATCACTGTAGCCCAGTGGTGTGCAGTCAATGGACTGTTAGGGGACTAGACTAGTCCCCTAAATGTTCTGATTAAATTAAAGTATTAAAGCCTGGTGCCTCCTTCCCAAAGCCCAGGAAGTTTCTGCCCAGCTTAGGGAGGGAGGTGTGATGCTCACGTGTACGACATTGCCCCATCGCCCTCGCAAGCTGGCGCCTCTGGCCCTAACTGTTCTCCTACAAAATATGTTGCCGCACGCCACTCTTGTAACCATATGTTATAAGGGGGATTGATTATTGTCTGAAAGACTTGTATACATAATAAATTAAGCCAAACTGTTGTGAAGTTATCCTTTTGTTTCTGCTCCTTCAACAACCATAATTTATTAGTTAGTTTTTCCATTAGGCCAATGTCCCATACACTTTTGTACGAATGATCTAAGTTTACTCTGAAATATTTTTCCAATGTCTAGCTAAAATATTCCTAGACATTATATCACAACTAATTTTGTTAGATTTTAATTATGGTGTGTGCTGCCTTCTACTTTTGGATTAACTTGTAGGTTGGTTTTGTGGTTTGTATTAGATAGCAAGTCTACTTAGGCAGCACCTATCTTCCTACATGTTCTGTGAAACACCTATTTTTCAGGCACTCAACAAATTAAAAAAATAATTATATTTTGCACAGATGAGCAGTAACTTGTAAAGAGAAGCCTGTGAAAATTAATAGAAACGTCTTTTCACATTTGTGGTTAGATTTGGGAGGGGAAAACACAGGAAGCTGCCATTTGCAGAGTCAAACCATTCCACCATCTGGCTCAGTATTGTCTACTACAGCAATGATTCCCAATTGGTTAAGTATTGTGGACTCCTGTTTTTCAAAAGCCGATCCATGGACTCCATGTTTTTGACTATGGTAGTTTGTGTTACGTGAATGGTGCCACGGACCCCCTGGGTCAGTTACGCGAACTGCCCAGTGGTCCGTGGACCACCAATTGGGAACCACTGGTCTACACTCTACAATGACTAACAGCAGTTCAACAGGATTTCAGAAAGAGGTTTCACCCAGCCCTACCTGGAGATGCATGGGACTGAACCTGGGGCCTTCTGCATCCAAAGCAGATGCTCTACTGCTGAGCGACAGCTTTTCCAGGAAAACCCTGGAAGCTAGATCTAGGCTTCTCATTGCTTCCGCTTGCAAAACCTGTCAGGACCCATAGGAGCTGTGACATGAAAGGGAGCGAAGCACTGGATAAGTCTCCCCTGTCCATAGGACGCTGTCCTCCAAATCACTCAAAAAAGGAGAGGGTAAGAGAAAATCCAGATTGAGAGAGGAGAATGTGTGGGAAGGCAGTTATTGGAGGGGAATGTCATATGAACAACAGAGAATTAATGGACGTACAGGAAGCTTACTATCCACACTGAATGACAGTAAGGATGAGTCCTAAGTCCAACACTCTCCACTCCTCTCCCATGCCAGCTTTCATCTTTTTCCTTTCTCACTTTCTGCACCTCCAGTTTAAGAAATTCCCTATAAGCTTCCTTTTAAACACCTCCTGCTCCCCCACCTCTGTTGTCTTAATGTTCTCCTTCAATGGTAAAAATAAATAAAGCAAGCCTCTCTTAATCTAAAGAGATTAAATGATAGGCTATGCAGTGGCAGTGGCTAAGAGTGTTGACTTAGGACAGGGGAGGAGACTCTGGTTTGAGGCCCTCCCTGGGTGACCTTGGGACTGGTCACCATCTCTAACCGGGTTCAGCAACAGGGGTGGGGCCTGGAGCAGGATGAGTCATGTACACTATCATGAGCTTCTCTCAAAAATTAAAAAAGATACTAATGAAGAACATTTCTGTGAGGGAAGTCCTTTGCTTTACAGTATGCATGTGTAACAATTAATTGCAGGGCCTGTTGGGATATTGAACTGAAGAATTGAGTTGTCAACTTTGTCTGTTTCAGAATAAAGAATTACAAGACCGTTTGGATTACTTGATGGAGTCACAGTCAAGGACTGATGTAGAAACCAGGGATGTTGGAGTAGGATGTGACCTTCCACTGAGGTATCTGGGCTTGAATCCATTCAGGGAGAATCCTTTTTAGCCCACTTCGTTGAGAGACTGTGACAACTAAAGCAGCTGCCACCCCTTTGCAAATTCATGGAATTGTGAAGGTTTTTTTGGAGGGGGAACGTGGGCAGGTGGGCATTTTCGTGGGTGAAATGGTGCTTCTTCAAGGCCAAATGAGGAACAGTGATTTGTCACGCGTAATGAACTTTTATATGCTTGCTGTGTTTCAGCTTGCCAGAGGAGCCTGAAGTCTTAGCGGCACGCTGAATAAGTCATTTCACTAGAGCAGTTTAATGAAGCACTAATAAGATTACTCAGTTATGATTTTGCCCTTCTGACATTAACAACCAGCTACGCTGGTTTCCAGAGCTTCAGCCTAGAGGCGGCGATAATAAGACAAGTTAAGAAATTTCCAGGCCGTGTGACAGCTATTTATGTGATGCTTCCTGGGGACCCTCAAGGTGCCAAAGCATCTATATGTGGTTCATTTGGAAATTTATCATTGACCTTTACTCTGCTTAGCTTTATGGAGCCCTTTATTTTTCCTGTTTAATTTTTATAAGTAAATAAGAATTAATGATTTTTTATGGCTTGAGGAAAGCTCTTAAGGCCCTAAACCAAAAGAATGTGTATGGGGAACGTGGCAGATGTTCCTCAGTTTGTAGCAACTTGGCAAATGCCAGTAAAACCAACCAACCAGGAAGAGGCTTTTTTCACGCTCTTTATGAATAGCTAATTGCCATTCATCAGGCATAGGCTTAATGTATTTTCTGCACAACGAAATAAAGAGACCCAATAATACCCAAATACAACCTATACTATACTAATAATAAGTTTTCAACCATGTGCAAAAGTGTTAAGTAGCAATTAATACCAACAACTATGGATCACTGGTAAAACATCTGTTTAAATAAAGTCTTTTGCAAGTTCTTATACATAAATAATAACTTCTAGTTCCTGGGGGGAAAGTTCTTAATCAGATTCCAGTTTGAATGCTGAAGTCTCTGAATGCATGTGTCTCTGGGGACTTGCATGTACTTCACATGTGACCCTTAAACAGACTTGTGAGGGGAATGCTTTCTGTGGGTTGACCGTGTGCCACCCTAGCACATGGTTCCAGGTTCCAGGAATTCACACCAAAAGCTTGAGTTGAATGCTGAAGTACAATATATATTAAGGTAGGGTGGGGAAAGGAAGTTCAATTACACACTAAATAGTGTGTTCCTTGGGCTCCCCCCCCCTAATAATCTACTGCACTCAAACCCCCAAAGTGGAGAAAGAGATCTCCAGTGGAGAAGAGAGAAAGAGAGAGAGGTTGCTCACTAGAGTAGATTTAAAGGGTTGGGAATCAGAGGAGTTCCTGCAGTTGCAAATGACTAAATGACTAGTGGGTGTGGGTGGGTGTTGATGCTAGGGCCAAAGCATCCAGGCCAGAGTTCCTCTGCTTCAGGTTCTCTTACGATTTTTCAGCTCTTGGGACCCACAAGCTCTGACATTCAGTTGCTCTGAGTAAGACTGCAGTGGGAAGCAGAGGAGAATGGTGGGTGGGTGCAGAAAGAAGTTCGAAGCATGTGCCAGAATCTGTTCTCTTTTTTTGGAGTCTGGTTTCAAAGGAATGGCTGGAAGAGAAGGGGAGAAAGGAGACAAAGGTTGAGCTTTCCCTACCCTTATTAGTTAAAAAATCATTTGAAGCTCTTCTTGAGATTGCTATTGTGCCTCAGGTGTGATGTTTTTATGCTGGTTCCTCAGGAAGTATGATACAAGTATTGTCTTATTTACCTTGATTTGCATGATTGGTAGATCTTCTACCTACACTTTGGGAGGGGGGTGATTGAAGTCATCTTTTGTGGGGCTCACTAGGTCAGCCTTCTGTAAGCCAGTTATTGTCAATTCCTGTGGGTGTTGCAGTGTAAAAAAATTGAGAGTCAAATTACCTGCCCCTGGGGTTTAGGGAGCAGAGCTATTCCCAGCATGCATCACTGTTCTCCCCACTTTTCCAGTTCAGTGTCTGGAGACTAAAGGTGGACTGCAGTGGGCTGCCATGTTACAACAAGTTACATGTTAGATGCAATTATTCCAACATGTTGTGTCTTTTTTAAAAAATAAAGAACTAGCAGCCTCATACCCAGTGTTGCTTGGGAATTCCAAGAAACCAAAAACCAGTGCAGTTTTGAAAGGTTCAGTCCAACATTTTGATTCAAAATGGCATCCAGATGTATACAAAGATAGATCCTTGGTCTCAGGAACCATCATGCAAAATTTGGTTTTGATATTTTAAGGTCTCCAAATATTGAACAGACTTTATAATGAACCATCAAACAATTTTCTAAAACATGTAGAAGATTTGTTTCTGGTTACCAGCTGTGCTGCATGAAGGACTTTCCTCACTCTCCTGGCTCAAGGAAAGAGTTATATTTGTTGTGGATTCCTTTTCATTGGTTTTGATCAGCCAAACAGTATTGGTTGATTTCTCGAGTGTCTAACATTTTGTGCTGTTGGTTTTCATTCCTAGCACTGCGAACAGCGGCACATCTTCCGAGACATCAAAGCCTGCCAGGACATACACTCCATTCAAGAGAGTCTTGGAGTATTCGTCAAAGCGCAGCACAACTGCCATCATTCCAGGCCCAGGAACTCCTCACACATGTTCCAGCGTCTTGAAACTCTGCAGCTTGAAGGACTGATGAGGCAGAGAAGCCTTTCAGACACTTTGTTCATGAAGCTGCCCTGTATTTATTTGCAAGGGAACCAAAGGTGAGCAAAACCTCTGCCCCTGTTCCTTTTTCAGAGGAAGGAGTATGCAAAGTCACCTGCCACATTTTGAGCACACCTGAAGGAGAGGCTGCTGGACAGCAATCCTAACTGCACATGGAAACTCATTTCTTGTTTGAACTTTAATCTAATTCTACTTCACAGAAGTGCCATTTTCTTTACTTGAAAAGGGCATTAATTTCAATGTTACTCCTTTCCTTTTTGGAAAAGTGGTAGTTACAGCCAAAGATATATTGGCAGTTTGCTTGGGGAGGAAGTCTCTGCTTTTTTAGCTCTTTAAGATGCTGATTCTGAAAACACTGAATGGGACCACGGCACTCCTGAAGAGGGAGGCAGGGACCACCACCAAGGAAGCGTGCCAGTGGTGCTCTTGTGAGCTTTGTGGAAAGGAATGAAATTTGTTGGGTTTCTGCAACAAGGCACGTAGCTTTCTAATCTGTTAACTACCAAGTTTATTTCTGAGATTCACAGTTTCTTTTCAAAGGGACTTTTTCAGTCTTTCATACCCACCTCTCATCTGTCTCCAGGAAATATAGCATTGGTTCTTCATGTATTAATACCTGGAAATACTTACGTGTCTATTTATAACCTTCCTGTTTAACAAAGCCTATTATTTTGTATATTGGAAATCCCTGAATGCTGTTCCACTGAAATATGGTTAAAAATCCTTTGTACTGAAGCTTAAGCCACATTTGACTAACTCACTGTACATGCATTTTTATAATGTGCTATGTTGTATTTTAATGTCATTTAACATAAGTGCTGGAGGGGCTAGCTATTCCTCAAGGAATACACAATGTGTAAGAGTTAACAGGGAAAATGTTGATTTAAAATGATTGGCATCACGCTTTTAAAGACTTTGGCCCATTGTCACTGTGTTTCACATTTGACTATACTCTTTCAACAGAGCTCTTGTTATTTTCATGTATGTGCACTACTTAATTAGTAAATAAAAAAGAACACTGTATAGGAAGTCTGAGGCCATACGAGTCACTTGGATAACTCTGCAACAAGAGAACTAATTGCTTAGGATACCATCCAGCCACCTCAGTTCCTTCCCACTTGGCTCTAGCGTGCCTGCTTGAATAAATACTTTTTGCAAATTGTACCAAAGGCAACATATTCTACATTTACAAATGGAGGGAAAACCTAAATATGAAGTATATATTCCCTGTGATGTTATATATTCCATTTATATTGTTATGAAATTGTTACTGTGGGTGGGACTATCATGCCTTTGCCCTTGGCTTCCCAAGGCAATACGTGGTCAGATTCTGGGATTTGATGAAGTAATGTTAATGGTTTCCAGCGTGAGTGAATGCCTAGGAAGTAGTTTGAGATTGTTCTGGAAAGTTCTGAATGGAGAGAGAGACATCAGAGATTGAGGAAGAAGAGTGGCACTCCTGTTGCTGTCATGGGGAGGAGGCTGAAGTCTCTGAGGGAAGCAAACTGCAGTTTGCAACAGAAGGGGAGAGAGCAGCGCTGAGGGAGCTGAAACGTTGAAAGCACCTGGGTGTGCCTCTTTCTGGAGATTTGATTTATTGCCATTTGTAAATAAATCTGATAATACAAAATGCCGCAAGTCTCTAGTGTTCTGTCCTCCGAAAAAATGCAAGCACTTGGAAAGCACCTGCACACCTGGAAATCTTCATCACTTGGAGAAGTGAGGACCATGTGACAATATGTACATATAGCAGCAAAGTGGATTGGGTTCAAAATGGCAAAAAATATGGGGCTTGAGGGCCCAGACTCTTTTAGTGCTTTGCCTTTTCTTCATATACTTTGGACAAAAAATCGTGAGTCATGTGTGGGGCCGTCCTACAAACGTAAACAGAGTCTTGCTGCTGGAATCAGACTAAAGGGTCTTCTGGTCCAGCATCCTGCAAACAGCACTCTCCTAGGCATGTTTACTCAGAAGTAAGTCCCAGTATGTTTGTTTAAAGCATTTCCACCCACTCTTCTGCCCAACCAAGCTCCCAGAGCAGCTCACAATCTAAAAAGACATGACACAAAAGAAAAAAGAAACAGGAGGGAGGAGGGGGAAAAGCAAATTCATGCACTAATTCTGCAGGTCATGGAACTAGATCTACTGCTCCAGATTCCAGGTTCTTTGAACATAATGGAGGAAATCAAACACTGACAAGGACTTGTCATTGAGCCTACCTAGTGGCAATGAAGGCAGCAAAGAAGGAATACTTTACTATCTCCATTGCATCCTCTTT